GGGCTGGGCTGGGCTGGCAGGAAGAAGGGGAAGAAGGTGGGTGCTGGGGAGTCTCCCACTGGGGGAGGGGTCAGCTTCTGACAAGGCCTCTGATTATACAGCTCAAGTACAAGCTGATGAAAATCACGGTCAACGCAGCCTTGCAGAGGCAGTTCCACAGTCCTTTCATCTTCCGAGAGGAGGATCCCAGCCGCCAGGTGAGCCCCTGGGAACCCTGCAGACCTGGGCTTGAGCCAGGCCAGCTTGGGAAGGGGTCACCTCTTCCCCTACAGTTTTCCTACACCCTCTGCCATGTGTTCCTGCAGGAGAGAGATGGACAGAACCGCCAGCAGTTAGTGCAGCATCAGAGGAGAGAAAAAAAGCAAAGCAAACAGCCCCTTGGGGGCAAAAGTGGACAGGGGGCCAGAAATAGGCATTTGCCCAGTGCCTCAGGGGCCCCAGGCTCTGCACTTCAACAGCAGCATGGGGCAGAGGAAGGAGGGGAACCTGCGTATTTTACTATTTTACATTAAAGGAAACTGAAACTGGAGCCCAGGGCAGCCTGCCTCAGGGCAGCTCATTGGCTCCAGCAGCAGGGAGGCTGTGTCTTGGGCAGGCTGGCAGCTATAATGGCCATCCCACCCCCGGCCTCCCCATCCATTCGCCCCTCAGCTCTAATGAAGTGCATGTGCCCTGTGCTTTAGAAGTCTGGTGTGAACTGAATTGGTGAAGGCCAAGGGATGTCCTGGTATTGAGACTTTTCATATTGGGTAAAACCAGATCAAACTGGCTTAAATTGGGCTGGAAAGGGATGAGGCTCCGTGCAGTGTTCTGGAAAAATGAAAAGTTGGGTCTTAAAGTCAAGTCCATTTCTCTGCAATGAGGCATCTCAGACGTGGGGCACTGCTGCCCTCCACTGGCCATGTCCCCAAATTGCCAGCCTGGGCTCCAGGTGAATGTTTAATACTAGATGCTGGGTAAGCCCCCCAGTCCCACCCCAGACGCTACAGAGCAAAACAGGCATGGGCTGGAAGCCAGCCCTTAAGAAAGCCCACAAATACCCATCACAAACAGGGTGGGGTGTGCCAGGCGAAGGGCTAGCAGGTGCAAAAGCCCAGAGGCAGCACTCAGGGAGCCCTCCCAAGGAGCGGTTTTATTTGTTCATTTGTTCATTAAGCATTTGTGGGTGCCCCCCTATGACTCAGGCTCCCTAGGGGATACAGAGAAACAAGGACAACAAAGCGTGGGTTGGATCTAGGGGTGAGCGCAGGTGCTGGGGATTGGAGGTGGTCAGACCAGGGAAAGCTTTCTGGAGACAGCCCACTTGAACTGAATCTTGAGAAATGTGTTAGAATTTCCCAGGTGACCAAGAGAGAAGAGGCATGGTACAGGCGCGCATGCGCATGCACGCACACACACAAACTGCCGCTCTCTCCACACTAGTTCATGTCTCTCAAATGAATTCCTTCTCCTTCCATTCCCCCCCCCC